CTACGGAATAATGTTCATTTACAATCAATTATAATTAATAAAATGTGTTAACAATTCTTACTGTTAAATTTTCATTTTTTAGCTAACTATATTCGTTATTAATTAATCCTTTTGCTTCAATATAGACGAATTGTCAAGAGTCAAATTATTCTATTTGATATAATCTAACACTAAAATACTACAAAAACGGGGAAAAAAAGGAGAGGAGTGACATTTAATTNTGTGTTAACAATTCTTACTGTTAAATTTTCATTTTTTAGCTAACTATATTCGTTATTAATTAATCCTTTTGCTTCAATATAGACGAATTGTCAAGAGTCAAATTATTCTATTTGATATAATCTAACACTAAAATACTACAAAAACGGGGAAAAAAAGGAGAGGAGTGACATTTAATTCCAAGTTTAATTAGTTTTTAGCGCTTGTATTATATCATTAATGTTGTATTAGACGTTTATAACAATGAACATTGCGTACAAATCTAGTTTACTTCACGATTTTATTATGTATACAGTAATACCTCCTCCAAGTAAACCATTTAGGCCTTTTCCGTGTAAGCTGGTGTAAGCCTTTTTATTCCCAATGCACATCCAACTTCGAGTAGTTGCTCTAGAAAAAGAATGAGAGATGATTGAGGGACAGAATTAATTCAGTGACTTCTATGTGTGAGTTTTCACACGAACGCGAACCTAGCCTGTTCACCTCACCGTGCTGGCGATCTCATCCTACTCCGCATTCGTTTGGCTGAAACACTGGGCGCGATATTTGTCTCGTATTGTTGCTTTGTAGGTTTCTCGATGACACAGTCCAGCGTATTTTCGAACATCTTGAAACGGCGATTATTTCTACAATTATTAAAATTGACGGCGTCATGACTCATAGTAAATATTTTCAGTGTTCAAGGATATTGAATTACAATTTCCAATGTTTTGTTTGTCTTTGTATTTTAACTTACAAATATTTCTGTCACAATTATTATGGATTGTACTCGCTGATTTATTTTACAGTCAGGTATCTATTTTTATGCTTATCGTAACTTAGCATTTAATTGTGCTTATTTTAATTGTACAAATTCATTATAGTTGTTCCTCCAAATGAGATTCAAGATGTCGTGGTACATCTTGAGTGATGTGTCGAAGTTGAAACGAATCATTCCGAAAATTAGCATTTTTGGCAGGTGCGTGGTGGCTTCCATTGGTTTGCCGACGAACGCTAATATAAGTTGTGCATGTGGTCATTCGTCGAAGAACGGAGTAACCCGAACCATTGATACCTAAAGTATTAAAAAAAAGTGTCTTACTTGTTGAAGACTATACGAGAACGATTTTTACGAACTATACAAATTTTAAAATTGATACTGGTTATTAAACTGTGGATCTTCATGAAAAATTATCATTTTTCTCATTATTTGCAAGAAACAGAGATCAAGTAAAAAGTTCTCTTTTCAATAATGCTAATAGATGTAAAATGATAGGTATATAGTAGAATTCCAATTATCCGGCATGTACAGGGTGTTCCAAAAATGTCTCGCAATCCGAAAATGGAGGGTTCTTGAGGTTATTCGAAGTAACTTTCCCCTTTATTTACGAGTTATTAACAAAAAACGTTGACCAATAAGATGCGAACTCGACTGGCACGAGGCGACCCAGCCAACAAGCGCACGAAGCCCAGCTTCGTTCATAGGCTCGATCGTCTCGCGTCTGCTGATTTCGTCTCGCATTGGTTACTGTTTTTCGCCAATAACTCGT